AGTTGGAGAGACAATGATGGTGTGTCAAAAGACAAAAAGGGGAGAAATCTCTTCCAAATTTGGGTTAAGGTTGCCCAGGATGCTCTTAGTATATTGAGCCTCAGCCATATGGAAAGAAGCACCGCTTCTGGSTGTGCTGGTCCACAGTGACTCAACATGGGCCAGTGTGAGCCCAGGTGGCCAAGGGAGGCCAAGGGCATCCTGGCCCTTACCAGCAATGGTGGGGCCAACAGGACCTGTCCCCTTGTACTCAACACTGATGAGGCCACACCTTGAATCCTGGGGTCAGTTTTGGCCCCCTTATAACAAAAACGACGTTTTGGTGCTGCAGCGTGTTCAGAGAAGGAAATAGAGCTGGGGAAAGGTCTGGAGCATCAGTCTGTGAAGAGTGACTGAGGGAGCTGGGGCTGTTTATCCTGGAGAAAAGGAGGCTCAAAGCAGGGCCTTCTCCCTGACAGGGGGGTGTAGCCAGTTGAGGGTTGGGCTCCTCTCCCAGGYAACAAATGACAGAATGACATGAAATGACTTCAGGTTGCATTGGGGTGGTTTAGATTGGACATTAGGAAAAATTGAGCTCCCAAAAGGTTTGTCAGKCACTGGAACAGGCTGYSCATGGAAGTGGTGGAGKCATCATCCCTGGAGTTATTTAAAGGTGTAGATGTGAGACTTGGAGGCAGAGCTTAGTGGTGGACTTGGCAGTGATTGGTTCATGGTTCAACTCAATTAAGTCTTTTTCAACCTAAACAAATCTGAGATTCTTCTTAAATTTATGGCACATCTGTAAGAGGCAGTTGCTTATGCTGCTGCTGATGCATGARCACTGCAATTGGACCTACTCCTTCAGTGTAAGGAGCTCACTGAGGCTCTTGGTGATAATCATTTCATGCTACCTTGAGAGGGAGCTAGTCCTTGATTGTTGTTACCTTTTCCAGGTGATGTACAACCTAGTCATTTTTTAGGCTGTTTCAGRGAGAATATCACTAGTGAGTTTGAGTAACCCCAAAGACCATTCCTGTAGGTTGCATAACTACTTTTGCAGGAACTAGAGATGTGTGCTCAGTGGATTGTACATGGAGACCACTTTAAAAAAAAAAATCTGTGCCTTATTGATTTGCAGTTCTGTAGCTGAACAGGATTAGAAGGCATGCAGGATTAGGCAAAGAGAGTTCAAAAGTACTTGTAGAGCAACAGCTTTTCTTTTTGTGGGAAGGACCAGTGTTKTACTGTCTTCTGGCTGTTCCTCCCTCAGCAGCAGCTCAGTTGTGCCAGGCTGTGGTGAAAGCCTGGTGTAACTATGGTGGCCTCTGGAGCAGCCAAACTGCTGCCAGGCTGTCACAGCCTGTTCAGCTCCTCCTTGACTGCTGGAAACAGAAGGGATAGTGCTGCCAGTTCCCCTCCTTTATTTTGGAAAACTGAGTTACTGCAGGGCCTGCAAGAAGGATTCTCAATGTTTAGCTTGGTGATTTAAATGAATATAAAATTACATTTTTGCCAAACGTTCCCCTCCCACTTAAAAGACAGATTTTAGTTGGATTATAGAGTGACCTTGGGACCTCTGGTCTCTGTATGTGCCTAYATGTACAACTCTTTTTCCTCCCGTGGAACAGAAAGGAGAAGATGGCACAAAAGCAAGAGTAAGGCAGGATTGTGTGGTTTGTTTTTTTGGGGGGGAATTTTTTTGGGTGTGGCTTTTTGGTGGTGTTGTTTTGTTTTGTTTGTTTGATCAGATCCATCAAACTGTAGCTCTGTTTCTTGCAAAAATCTCTATCTTAGAAGTCAGAATTGAATTTTTGTATCTATTTGTAGGCCCTAACCTTACTTTTCCTTTACTAGTGTTTATTTTTACTTGGAACTGTTGTTTTGCTGTTAAATATGTCACTTATGGCAGTTGGTCACTTCCATGTAGTCCAGCATTTATTAGAGAGCATAGTGTTACTTGTTTTTAGTTTGCATTACGTCTGTTACTCCTGAGGAGATTCAGGACCCTTGGAAATCTTCACAATGACAACAGCCACTGGAATAGTCTGCCTTGGCAAGTGGTGAATTCCCCAAGACTGGACACTTTTAAGATTCAGGGTGCTGGACTATCTTGTCTAGACTGCTTTTGCCAAGAAAGCTTGGACTAGATCCCTTCCAGTCATTTTATGATTGCTGCTGGGCAGAGTTTTAACCACACTGTTTGAATYTTATAAGCCTGACCAGTTTTTGGGGGACTTGAAAGTCCTGTTTAGCATGCCATCATTGACACATTTTATCATCAGGTCATTGCTAGTATTTTTCCCCCTTTTTTTTTAGTTCAAAACAGTTCTCCATACTACTTAATTGACTATATGTTAATGTCTCTCATTTGAGAAGGCATTGTTTCCTGTMTAATCTGTAATGGTAACTTTTAATTAGTAAATGCAGTCGTACTTGTGTCAGATCTTTAACTGCTTTCACTGAGATAACACTGAATAAAACTGCTAAAAATTTTGAGTACCAGTTATTTGTCTTCAGTTTCGTAGTGWTGTATTTTTGTGCCCAAGAGTTTTTCTTGTTTCCATATTTAGCTTTTCCTTTATCAGGAATCACTGTAATTTCTAAGTTGGAGATATTTAAATATTTCCTCTTATAAGAAAAATCATRTTTAATGCTTATCTCCCAAAATAAAACCTCTTGTCCCCATCTCAAGCTATTTTTTGAGTTTTCAGTATCGATGGATTAATGAAACATTCAACTATCTCAGTGCAGCTGGGAYGTTAAGATGGTTCTGGCAGAAAGCAAAGAGGATTACTTTAAAGGCAATGAATATGATAATTTACACACTAAATGTAATTGAATTGTCATGAGACATAGAACATGCCAAATTTTGATTCACATATTGCTTATGCAGAGGAAGGGATGGTAAGCCATGGACATGCTTTCAGCATAAATCAGGAATTTGCTTTCTGGTGCACTTACAGTTTGGCATTCTTGTAAGCAAAGGTTTAAACTTTTTTTCAGCTTACACTGTTACTTTGTGTGTTGTTGGTGTGTCCTTTTGAGCACATTTTAAAATAAAATAGAAACAATTTGTAGTTCTGTTAAAAAAATGTATCAACTGCATACTGTCTGAATGTACTGATTACTAGGTGTTACAGTGTTGTCCACTTATATTCAGCCACACTCTTTCTCAAATCTAATCTCTCTTTTATTTGGAAATTAGTGATAGGACTTTTCCCCTATTTCTTGCAGCTCAGCAGCAGGTGTAGTTTAAACAAGGGAGCTTTCCCCCCACATCTGTCCATTGGAGAAGTCGAGCTTAGAGTCAATCAGAACTTGCATTTGATGAAGGAATGTCATGTTTCTAAGGAAGTTAWAAGTTTCCTTTTTAAAAACTCATAATTGGTCTTCTGTAAAGACTTGCAGGAAGCACAGAGCTGTCTTACAAAAGAAAACACAAGTTAATTTTGGTTACATGTATTGTATCTTCTCACTTTGAAAGTAAAACCAGGGTTCATTCACTGGTTTTGTCAGTGTTGATTTGGGGGCTTAAGTGAAAATGAGTTAGTTAGTASACGTGCTCTGTCAGCTGGTAAGGATTAAGAACCAGATTGTTGTAATTGTGCTGGGGGAGCAGATTGTGCTGGAATGCCCTGGGAGTGGTGTGAAGTTGTGTCTGTCCCCTTGGGTGTGACAAGGCCGGGGAGGGGCTCTGGAGGGCTGGGGGTCTTCGTGTGGGAGTTGTGTCTTGATCAGAACTTGGGGAGCTGGAGTAACAGAGCCCTGCAGTGGCTGTAAAGCTGTGCCAGAAAAAACCAAACCTGAGACCCAAACTTCTTTGTGTCTTGGGTTCTCTTTAGACTTTGGAATAAAGATGGATCTGGCACCTGAAAGCACAGGAGGAGCAGTTCCTGCTTGGACACACCAAAGTCTGAGCAATATGAAATTATTCTACTCACCCCTTACCTTGCAGGGAGGAAATTATTTGGCAGTATTGTGGCTCAGAGATGTAAAGCTTCCAAATATATCAGATGGAATTATTTATTACTTTTTTTCTCCCTCAAATAACTGTAAATACATGTGTGCTGGTTCTCCTTCACACTGGAAAAGACGACAGAGCTCTATGTCTTTGCTAATGAACAGGAGTAAAATGATTAGCAAATGACAGTGACAGGGAAAAGGGAGCCAGGTGAAGGTAACAAAGTGTGATTCTGGGGGCCATAAATGAAAGCTTTCAAGAAGCAGTCAGGCTTTCCCTTAGRGGACATTTGGGATAAGCAGTGCTGTTGTCTGAATGCTGGTGCTTGTGTCTGTGGTGGGTCATACTGAGGTTCTCTTTGCGTTCCTCTGGCAAAACTTGAAGTGAAAACAAGCAGAGGCCATGCTAAATCTCTAGCAGATGGCTTGGAAGGCTACCTTGGCACAGCTTCTTGTCTAAATGTTGAGAAATATGAAGGTAAACTTTAATAAAGAAACACTAGGTTTGAACAAATCATTGTGTTAATGTCATATGATGGAAGACTGTAATATSTGATCTGCTTTTCTATTTCATGCCCCAGATGGTTGTATGTATTCCTGAAGTTCATCATGTTACCATGGACTAGACAGTGAAGAAAAAACACATGCTTGGAGTTATTTTTATAACCGTGTTAGGTTGAAATATATTTCAAACCTTTAAAAAGCCTTTCTTTATCTCAWGTTCATTGCTTTTTAATAATTGACAGGAATCAACTCTTGAATCTTGCACAAACTTACTGTAAAGCTCATTTACCTTATTGGTATGATATAATTGCATTTGGGATATTGAAGTACATTCTGTTGTTGGATATTCAAAACAGCAAATTTTCCTTTCTTGGTGCTCTGTGTTCCTGTCCGTGTTCTGGAGATGGTTTCTGTTCAGAGAACAGGACTTACCAAAATTTGAACTCCATTCATGTACTAATGCTGCATCTGCAGTGTCCTCATGTCCAGTGCTTGCTCACACATTGTTTTTTTTCTTGCCTGTCAACCTTCCTGTTGTCATATCCTTACACTTATTCCAGCTCTGAATTGCCCAAGTTGCAGTTTTGACACTATAACAACATCCTTCCCTGTTTTCTGAGAAATAAGTTTTAGGCAATTTCTAAGAAGCCATGCACTATTTCTTCAGTATTCCAATATCTCTACAAATCCTGTAAATAGTGCCTGCTTTTGTTTTAAGCCAGTAGTGAATGTTCCAGCTTTCTTTGACTATTAGAATGTTTGTGRAATTGCCAGCTACTGGCTCTTAGTACTTTCTTCAGTCTTTCAGTTAAAAGGTTGTGCAGAATTATGTTTTAACTGTGTTTAATATCTGCATTTGTAGAAAATCAGAAATATTCTAAACTCAGCAGTTAAGATACTGTGCAGTAACTGTACTTTTCTTTGAGCAGTATTCAAGACATGCACCAAGGTCATATTTTGTTTTGACACAATAGTTTTGGCATTTCTCCATTGGAAGTAGTCTCCTTGAAGTTGAAGTTTATTTTCCTAGTATTTGGCTGCAGTTCTTTGTTCATAAGGGAGAAAATCTGAACAGAATTATTTTAATTCCTCCACAGGTGCAGATGCTGAGCAGGATGCTGCTATCAAACTTGCCCAGGAACGAGCAGAAATAGTTGCCAAGTATGACAGAGTAAGTGAACTTGTTAATAATTTAAAAGATATTTTATAATGAATTTTAGTAATATGTCTAACAACTGAATTATGATTCCAGMTAGCTGTTGTTTAAAATATTCTGTCAAGTACTAATCTGATTGTTTAATGATACACTGGCCTCTGGGTAAGTTAAGTTCTCCCTCCATCAGGGATATTCTGGATAATGACTCAATCAACTCATTTTTCAGGTGCATAGCAAGTTACTTTGGAGCTATTTCAGGGTGYGAATTGTATTAGAAGTAGTGAAAGTGAGGTTTTTGAGGATGCTGAGTATATATATGACATCAGAAGGATGCTGAGTCATATATATGACTCTCATTTTACTTTTTATTTATTAATCTGTAGTTATAGTAGTAGAAATGCTGAAATCATTGCAGAAAAAGTAAAAGATGAGTGAACTCTATTGTTTCTAATACTGTTGTGGGGAACTAAAGRAATGCCCTGGTCATATCTATTCTTGGACCCCTTGTCAGGAAAAGCCTGGTGCAAAGCATACCTAGAGTGCCTACGTTGTATTCAGGTATTTTTGTAGCACTTACGGACTTTTTAAGTGCCATTGGAGTACAGAGCAATACACTTGTTTGTAGAGTACATGAAATATTTAATGTACCAGACTTACTGGTGATTTGCACAGTGTGCAGGTGAGTGAGTGGCTCTGGTCCTTGGAATAAGGAAAAACACACTCCCATGGGGCTGGTTGACCTTGGCTGATACCAGGAGCCCCCAAAAGCTTCTCTGTCACTGCCATCCCCAGCTGGGCAGGGAAAATAGGACAAAAAGGCTCATGAGTTGGGGTAAGGGCAGGGAGAGATCCTTCACCAATGACTGTCAAGGGCAAAGCAGAGCTGACTTAAGGAAATCAGTTTAATTTGTTACCAATCAAATCATAGTAGGGTTTGATTGGTAAGAGAATGAAAACTGAATATTAAAACTTTTCTCCCCACCCCTCCCTTCTTCCTGGGCTTATTTTTGCTCTCATTTTCTCTACCTCCTCCACCCGAGCAGCACAGAAGGATGGGGAATGGATGCTGTGGTCAGTTCATTCCRTGTTGTTTCTGTGGCTCCTTCCTGCTTGGGGATTTGACTCCTTGAATTCTTCCCTTTCTCCAGTGTGGGGTCCCTCCCACARGCTGAAGTTTTCCGTTARCAGGAACTGCTCCAGCACTGGTSCCTCCCACAGGGTCAGTCCTTCAGGCACAGGCTGCTCAAGTGTGGATCCCCCGTGGGGTCACAAGTCCTGCCACCAAATCTGCTCCAGTGATGGGCTGGGCCTTGGTCCTTGGCAGGTCCATCTTGGAGYTAGCTGACTTTGTTGGATGTGGGGGAGGCTTCCAGCAGCTTCTCAGAGACACCACCCCTTGAGCCCCCTACTACTAAAACCTGGCCACACAAACCCAATACAGAACCTTTGTGTTCTGAGTGGTGGCCTCTTCGTACACAGTAACCTGTGCATAGCCCATACCAGAAGCAGATAGAGCTGAAATGCAGTTAAACTTCCACAAGCCTTTTGCAAGACTGGCAACTGGATAGAAGAGTGGGACGTGAATGAGCACATTATGGAGGGAAAATTCAGTGCTGCTTTGTTTGACAGCTGCTGTAAATCATCCTGGACAATAACTCCGGACTGTCTGCAGGATGTGCTCTTGCAGGTGATATTCAGGAAAGATGGACTTTGGAAATGAAATGAGTAGAAGGCATCCTGTGGGGACCTTGATGGATTATTGTGGAGTTTARCAAGAAGTGTGGAATTACTATGAGTCTGTGGTTGAAATGTATTCTGTGTACAGCAGTGGCCAAAAGAGTTTGCCTGTGATGAAAATACTGTTCATGAGAGCTGGGAGAGTGTGCTGCTCTCCTTGTTCTTGTCAGATCAGTTTAGGACTGGTGTTCTCCTCCCCCTCCTCTAACTTCCTGCCAGCATGTCCTACAGGTTACTCTTTGAGTGRTTGAATGCTGTATTACATGCCTTAATTTATTGTATCATAAAACATAATTTGGCTTTTTTTTTCCCTTTCCCTTTAGGGACGTGAGGGTGCTCAGATTGAACCGTGGGAAGATGCTGACTACCGTCTTTACAAAGTCACAGATAGATTTGGGTTTCTACAGTAAGTAGCAAGCTAATAAAAAAAAAAGATTAAAAGTTTGCTACTATTAATATTCAGGCTCTTTATTATATTACTTACTTGCTGAAAGTATTATTATGCCTATTAATAGATCTTTTAGAAACTGTTATGTAAGTGTTACAACTGGCTAATCTTTCAATGTGCTTTTCAATTCGATTTCTATCTGTTTTTTTATTTCTGTAACTTGATTCTGCTTAGGAAGTGAAATGTTTTAAAATACTTTATTCGGGAATGAAAATTGATAGTCTACAAAAAAGATGTTTCAAGCTGAATTGCAGATAAATCTTGGTTGTGAATAACTTAGCTGGATGTAAGAAAATTTGAAGTTCATGGAAAGATTTATAAAAATTTTTTTWAAATGTTTATTTWAAAAAAAATCTCAACACATTRAGGGTTACTCAGTGGTTGTAAATGAACAACAGTGTATCTCAGTTCTTCAAAGATGAATATCTTTTGACTTCATTAATTTTTTAACCTTACTGAAATCTCTGCTGATTTGRGGCCTAATGTTGAATCTTAAAGTTAAGTCAGAAAATGCCAGAGTCCACATGCTGTTCCCCTATAGGTGCCACCTTTGTAACAGAATCTGTGCCTTTTTGGCAAACAGAAGATTAGAGTATTAAATTGTGTTAGGGTTTTTGTGGTTGGCAGATGTAAATATCCATCTTGCAGAAACTGAACACCGGCTGACTGGCTACTTTTGATAATATTAGGACTCTCTGATATTCTTGGTGTTTGGCATTTATGTTTGAATACATGAAATGCAGTTTAAATCCAGAAAAATCAGTCATAAATGGAAAACTTAATAATACCTAGGTAATTTATAGTTTTGGGAAGGGGGATTGTTTTTTTGGGGGACTTTTTTCTTCCTCTTCCTTCCCTTTTGCAATGTCATTGTTTTTACAAGCTGTCAGTTAAAAAGTCATCTTTACCTGTAGACTGCTTGTGCTTCTTTGGGGTGAGTTAATTTGATATGTGATATTCAAACAGGTCTGTTTGACACAGAGAGGCCTTTGTGTTGGTAAACCACAGCTGTAGCACCATGTRCCTGSTGTTCTCACTGCAGYTGTAGCATTCCTAATGGAGAGTGGRTRTCAGTTATTTTATTTCTTGGGCAGAAATATTGGAAACCACTGCAGGGTTCACCTCTGACTTTGGTATCCTTGTGAACTCCCRAATTTTTCCTGTTACTTGTATTGTGGTACTTGCATTTTTATGTGTTGGGCATAGAAGWTTGTTACTCAAGTCCTTTCCAGCTGATGCTGCTGTCAGTCATTACCCCMGACTTCTTCCCCAGGAACATCATTACCAGCAACACAGAACTAATTCTCTATATAGTCAGCTTCAAGGGATGAAAGCTGAAAGATYTAAATTACATTAAGACTGCAAAGGTTAGCAGTGTATGCAGATTATCTCTTCACTAATTGTGCCTATTTGTAGCTTATCCATGTCTTGTTACARGGCAGATTTTCCCTGGGACTGTTTTTAAGGCTGCTTTATGATTGTTTGAGACAAATTCATTKCCAAGGATGTTTTCATTTTCCTAAGAAGCACAGTCCCTCCTAAAGAAGAAATGTAATTAGGATAAACATATCAACTGTCTTGTCCTGAAAAGACAATTTTTTGCGCTCATGGTCTGGGTTTATGTGGGCTGTCATACTGGGCTTCTATGTCTGAAAGAAATTCATGTTCTGTAAGAGTTTGAAATGAAGAAGGATGTACCAAAGCTTCAAATGCTTCTCATCCCTAAGAGCCATAATTCCCTTTGACCTATCAGGTATTTACAGTGTAAAGTCGCAAACAGGCTGATGCATATTGAAAACAAAATCTGGAGGAAGTACCAAATTTACAGTGCTCTTGTTAAGGTGTACAATGATTTGTAATCTTGTTTATATTGACATCTTAAAATACTAAGAGATGCCTTTTGTATCAGAAGGATGCTGGGTGTGAGGAACATGATACAAAATGGAGGCTTGTTTTCTCAAGCATGATAGGCTTTGATTATTAGTAGTTTTCTCTGTTTCTTTGTCTGTGTCCTGTTTGCAGCTTTCCTTGGCTCTGTGAAGGGGCATTCAAAGTTCAGTTGATTGCTGATAGGACAGAAAAGATGATTTTGAGGGAATGAAGCACTCAGGCTGCCTGTGTAACTTTGCCACTGGGTAGAAGAAAGGAAAATGTRAAGACTAGAGATATTTTTTAAAGGATAGTTTTGGCCTAGTTCTGCAATTTTTCTGGTGTCCCAGTGTCCTTATTTATGTTACTGGGAATTTGTAAACTTGAGGAACATGAAGGTTTTACACTTCTCTTGTCTTCCTGCTGTACCAATAGAAGTGGGCTCCAATTTTCTTCAGAGAACAGACTAAGAGGTAGAGGGAAGATGCCTTTTTATTCAACAGTGGAGAAAGTTGTGATTGGAAACAATATACAACACTTCCCTTCAAGTGAAATTTGTCACTTTAACCTTCTTATAAGAACCTCAGTTGATACATCTGGCATCTCTGATCAGTTCTAAGTGTTATAGTATTTACTGTTTACAGTAGTTAGGACCTTCTTTACCCAATATTGTCTTAAATTTTTAGTACCTGCTGCCTTCAGAACACAATTTAATTTCTTTGCTGTAGTACTTTATTWTGCAGTTCTGCAAATGAATGCTAATGTTCTAGTTAATTTTGGATATTAAAAGGAAATTGGTGTGGACAGGTTATTAAGATAGCTATTTAAAAGAAACAAAAAAGCTGAGTTAATACCTAATGAATTWAGGGAACAAAAAAAGTATGTGCAGTGAGAAGTACCAAAGCATTATAATAAYGAGACTTGTTTGAAATGAATAAAGGGAAGTTTTAGAGGGAACTTGGATGTGGGAAGAAGGTTTCCAGTCAAGCTAAGCTGTGAAATAACCTGTGGGGAGCCTGAGTGGCCTGTCTGTTTAAGAGATGTTTAAGACCAGATTGTGTAAAACAGAATGGAACTGTGAGGAGTTTGTTTAGTGGCCCTGACTAAATTGTAGCAGGTATGAGCGACTCTGCTGAAAACATCAATTGTACATGAGAGTCGTGCAGGAGCAGAAAGAGTGAAAATCTCATTATTGGCTAAAATATAGAAAATTTGGCCTACACCAACTACTGTTGTTGCAAGGCTATGAGGAAGTTGTGGGCTATCGTTTATTTAGTCCTTGTGGTGTTGCAGGCAAACTTGTCTCAACTTGGGGAATTTTTGTCATAATTTACTGCCAGATACCATCTCATTCTGTTTGCTGATTTAGATGCTGTGTAGTAACACTCCAAAACATAAAACTGTAACAAGCACCTAGAGGAAACACCTGTCTCCAGGACAAACTTCCCTTTTTGTTGTGGGTTACCCTTGGATCACCCCAGTTCCTTTGGTGAGGTGACAGTGCAGGAGGCCCTGCATATAATGACTTATTTCTGCTGACCCTGGTTTCTTACTTATTTTTACCTTCTGCTTCTTGTGTTTTAYGTGTCTTCCTCCACCTGGGCATGGTGTGCCTCCCACTGGGAGTACATCTCCAGCTGTGTTCTCGACAACCCCTTCCACCTGTCTCTTCTGTCCCTCCAATTAATATTGCTCCTCTTAATTAATACAGACTTGTTTCTATCAAGTGCTGCTGGTCTTCATCAGTGTCACCCAGTRTACATGGAATAGTATATTAAATAATACATGAGTTCAGTAGATTTAATATTCCTATTACATGGAATGACCTACTAAAACTTTCCTCTTCACCTTCAAAATGTTTCTTTCAGAGAATCCCATGTCAGGGAGTTTATCTTAGTCACGACCACAAATACTGAGAGAGCAGACCAGTGTATTTTATGCAAGTGCACTGTGRTTACCAGCAAACCTAAAATTATTTAAGGAAAAAAAAGGCAGCAATATCCTTCCCCCAAAAAAACCTCAGGCATGGTCCTTATTCAATGCAATTTATATTTTCCAGTAAAAATCCTTCTGGGCTGCTGCTTTCATATGATAGTGCAGGAATGCTGAGCAGTCAGGCTGTTGTGAAAAGTGCCATTCAATTTTAAAAGGAACATTTTCCCCTCTGAAGTCTAGCACCAATGTCTGTATATACAATCTGCCAGTGTTTTGATAAGATTGGATATTATTTTCTAGAAAGTGCAGGAGATGGATGCTTTGTGTGTTCTTGTAGCTGATGGAAGTTCAGCAGACCTTCTTGGGGGACTCCCATAGGGATCAGATCAGCCTTAGCCTGTAATAGATGACTTTTGCAATCAAGTATTTTAGGAATGGGAGAAATGCCTAAGATCTCTTCACAGATAGTCATAACAAAAACTGCTTGAGCTGTTTTTGGAAATGAAAAAGGCGGAATGTGYTTGGTATTCATAAAATATATGGGGTTTGTTTGTTCACTTTTTCCATTTTTTGGTTTTTTTCCTCTTCTTGGATGTGTTGTATTGTTTGGTCAACATTGTGTGAATATTGACCCTGACACCACAAAAAAACAGTTCCTCTCTGTCCTATCTTGGAGCCTGGCTAAATTTTAAAGTAAATGTCCTCAGTATTTTCACKGTGGACTGTTCTTTCATCAGCCCTTTTCTTTACCTTGTTGATACTCCTGTTTGCATTTTTTCTAGCAGCAGTCATTGATAAGGGAATAACTTCAGGGAAACAAACCTAAAGGAATTTCTGAGTGTCTTGAAGCTCATAGCAGGCATTCCAGTAATGCTTTGGGATCTGGGATTTCCCCCTTCCCCCTCCTTGAATTCTTTAGTTGATTTGGTGCTGCTTTGGAATCGTTCAAAAAGCAACTAAAATAAACTTGGTGGCAAGTTCCCTGCTACAACTAGAAATGTTTTAAAAGGCATTTTACTTATGGTTTATGTCATTGAAGCACATAGTTAAAGATTTATTTTTCATGGATATATATCCTTATATTTATTTTTTGTGAAACTCTCCATTTAGCTACAAGTGCAAAATAACTTCATTCCCTCCCCTTCCTCCCTGCC